GTGTGTGTGTGTGTGTGTGTGTGTGTGTGTGTGTGTGTGTGTGTGAAGTAGAGCTGGCATTGCAGAGCATTGTACTTTTAATAAACATCATAGTTATTGTTTTTACATCACTAGCATAAACAATTTAGTAAGAAAAACTTTGAAAGTTGGCTGTTGCAGTTTTCTGTGTTGTTAGGAGTGCAAGAAAGGTTTGATAGACAGGTTTGGAATAAAATGTTGTAGGCCTGCAAATACTGCAGGTGGTTTAYGAACAACACGTTAAGACATGCTGACTAGGGATGCTACCGAAAATCTGTATTTTTTCAGTACTGGTTCCACATGATGAATTTTGACGGGATCAATAAGCTCCAGAAATAACAGTATCGTTAACGGTACCGGAATAGTGTGGACACGGCACATGCTGTGTTGATTAGAAGAAGCTCTGTTTTCCTCTCTCCCCTCTCCTCTCACAGCCTGTTTCCTCTGAGCTCTCCTCAACACGAAGGGGAGGGGCTGCTAGCAACACAGGCTGCTAGCAACTCGCTACCCACATGCGCAGAAAAAGACGACGTTTTCTTCATTCAGCACTGTTTTTACAGAAGTAGCCTATGGAAGCTAGTTGTTAGTATGTTGATTCTGAAGTTGTTGTGCAGTMAGAGCCAATTAAATAATTATCTGACCTGCTTGTTTAGTTCATTGTTTTGTTCTGAACCTGCCTCTGACCAGATGCTCTGGTGAAGCATTTTATTTTTGGAAYGTAGCATCACTAAAGTATCGATTGAGTAACTTTAGCATTGACCGCTCSACGTCACTATCATGTCTTTCTGTGGATTATCAGTCACTAAGGACATGGAAAATTAAAAGAAAAAAAAGACAAAGAMACTGTACTTCTGTTCTATATCTGAAGACAAGATTTACACCATGACTCGAGGTTAGTGTAGTTAAAWGCAAATTAAAGAATAAGTGGTTTTATTGTAAGTTCTATATTGTTCTAGCCTGGTAAAAACCAGACCCTAGTCCTTCACTTTGCTTCGGACAGAGGGTCTGGACTTGCTGCTATTGAAAAGTGATACTTGCTGGAGTAGTGGCCTCTGCTGAAGCGCGCGCGTGTGTGTGTTTGTGTGTGTGTGTGTGTGGGTTGGTTAATGGCGGGGAAAATGCTAAAAAATTAAAACAAACTATGAACATGCAATGCTTTTACTGTAGAAAAATATTAGCC